GATGAAGGGTCTAGGCCCGAAACATCAGCCTCTCTGCTCCTATGATGCTGCTTGGCCCGCTGTGTTCATCCAGCCCTGCACCTTGTTGTCTCTCATGTGATAACAAGGCCTGGTGTGTGGCGTAGGGGGCTGGGGCATGGGAGAGTTAACCCCACACACTAGGCCTTGTTACCACATAGCCTGCCATTACACACCCCTTGTTGTTAGTCACTAACAGTCTCCATTAACAACTATTTACCTTCCCAGTCTGATCATGAGCAACTCCTTTGTCTGTCCAACTGTCTTTCTCTCTCTTTGGGCCCTATCCTATCGTTTACCCCCTATCCCACCCACCTCCCTATTTTCTGCATATAAACTGACGTTTCCCCAGCCACCATCAGTTCTAAGGAAGGGTCACCAGACCCGAAACGTTAACTCTGTTTTTCCCTCACACATGCTGCCAGACCTGCTGGGCTTTTCCAGCAACTTTATTTTTGTTCCTGATTTACAGCATCCGCAGTTCTTTCAGTTTTTATGAAGCTTTTAAGGGGTTGCAACAACAGAATGTGCATTTAATGTAGAGATAGTAGGAACTGCCGATGCTGGAGAATCTGAGATAACAAGGTGTAGAGCTGGATGAACACAGCAGGCCAAGCAGCATCACAAGAGCAGGAAAGCTGACGTTTCGAGTCTGGACCCTTCTTCACAAATGGGGGAGGGGAAGGGGATTCTGAAATAAATAGAGAGAGAGGGGGAGGTGGATGGAAGATGGATAAAGGAGCAGATAGGTGGAGAGGAGACGGACAGGTCAAGGAGGCAGGGATAGACCCAGTAAAGGTGAGTGTAGGTGGGGAGTTAGGGTGGGGGTTGGTCAGTCAAGGGAAGATGGACAGGTCAAGGGAGGCAGGGATGAGGTTGGTAGGTAGTAGATGGGGGTGGGGGTTGAGGTGGGAGGAGCGGATAGGTGGGAGAAAGGATGGACAGGTTAGGGAGGCGGGGACGAGTTGGGCTGGTTTTGGGATGCGGTCGGGGCGGGAAGATTTTGAAGCTTGTGAAGTCCATATTGATGCCATTGGGCTGCAGGGTTCCCAAGCGAAATATGAGGTGCTGTTCCTGCAACCTTCGGGTGGCATGGTTGTGGGACTGGAGGAGGCCCAGGATGGACATGTCATCCAAGGAGTGGGAGGGGGAGTTGAAGTGGTTCATGACTGGGAGGCACAGTCATTTGTCGCGAACTGAGCGTAGGTGTTACACAAAGCGGTCTCCAAGCCTCCGCTTGGTTTCCCCGATGTAGAGGAGGCCACACTGGGGACGGCGGATACAGTATACCACATAGCAGATGTGCAGGTGAACATCTGTTTGATGTGGAAGGTTTTCTTGGGGCCTGAGATGGTGGTGAGGTGGGAGGTGGGGGGGAAGGTGTAGCACTTCCTATGGTTGCAGGGAAAAGTGCCTGGGGTGGTGGGGCTGGTGGAGAGTGTGGAGTGGACAAGGGAGTCACAGAGAGAGTGGTCCCTCCGGAAGGCAGATAAGGGTGGGGAGGGAAAGATGTCCTTAGTAGTGGGGTCAGATTGCAGGTGGCGGAAGTGGCGGAGGATGATGCATTGGATCCGGAGGTTGGTTGGGTGGTACATGAGGACGAGGTGGATTCTGTTTTTGTTGTTATTGCAGGGAGGGGGTGTGAGGGATGAGTTGCGGGAAATGCGAGAGATACGATCGAGGGTGTTTTCAACCACTGTGGAGGGGAAGTTGCGATCCTTGAAATACGAGGACATCTGGGATGTCCGGGAGTGGAATGCCTCATCTCGGGGGCAGATGCGGCGGAGGCGAAGGAATTGGGAATAGGGGATGGCATTTTTGCAGGAAGGTGGGTGAGAGGAGGTGTATTCTAGGTAGCCGTGGGAATCGGTAGGCTTGAAATGGATATCGGTTTCCAGGTGGTTGCCAGAGATGGAAACAGAGGTCCAGGAAGGAGAGAGAGGTATCAGAGATGGTCCAGGTCAACGTAAGGTTGGGGTGGAAGGTGTTAGTGAACTGTTCGAGCTCCTCGTGGGAGCACAGGTTTCCGGGAGTGGAATGGGGATGGCATTTTTGCAGAAAGGTGAGTGAGACGAGGTGTATTCTAGGTAGCTGTGTGAGTCGGTAAGCATGTAATGTAGTTTGTTGATTGTTTGCAAACCTGATTAGGCACTTAAAAGATTTATTTATTTTGCACTGGAGTAGTTTCAATATACAGTATGAATCCAGATTTTTACTGGATTGTTAGAGTTTCAAGTTCCTTTCCACTGATTTTAAACTGTTCTTATTGCTATTGCATGGCTTCTAAAGACTATTTATGATAGTGCATACTGAGTGCATAGCTATGAAGGATACATGGGTTCATGGAGCTGGCATGGGGTAGCACGAGCAATCTGAAGGTGGCATAATGGGTGGGTGAGAGGTTAGCTTTATTGATCTTTGTTGAGAGGTGGGTCACTGCAATGAAAAACCAAGAACTACATCTGCAAGCACAATCTTCATGCACACCATCACAACTCACAAACCGCACTGAGAGCCACTGTGGCGCTTTGCATGGCCCACCAGGAGAGGGGTCACTGTTGAAACTGATCAGGGACCACAAGGCACTCTCAGGGGCTCACGCAGCTGTGATTAAATAACTGGGATGTAAACTGGTAGATTTTTGGGTATTTTTAACATTTATCACAGTATGTGGGTTTCACCAGATAGGCCAGCATTTATTCCCCATCGCTGATTGCTCCTGAGCACATGATGGTTAGCCACCTTCTTGAATCACTGCAGTCCAATACGATGCAAGTACACCCACAACAAACAGACTTCCATAATT